GAGTGTGTTTGATCCTATTCAAACCAGCATGTAGGTTAAAGCACCACAGTGAACGTATCTGATTAGATTTTATGCCAGTGGGGTGTTCTGAGCAGCAGAGTGTGTCCAGTGCCTGGGGCTCCTCCTGTTTTAGAGTCCTGAGGGAAGGACATTGATTGTAAGATTATGTTGAGGTCAGAAGAGAAGTTTGAGGAGGGACTAAGGAACCAAAACTACTACATGGTTGAAGCACTTACATGCATTTAAGACTAATTCTTGCTTTAGGTCAACTCTCTTACTTGGTCAGCCAGCCAGTTGCCCAAGCTGGGCTACAGGCATTCACTGTGATGCTAGGGGAGCAGTATAGTAACGGAAACCTAGAGGGCCAGGCTGCTCGGTTCTGCCAGACGCTCGGTGGTTAGGAGGTGGGTGGTACCATCTAGCTATGGTTAAGCTTTTAGCCTTAATGAGTCAGCTATAGGCAGGGAACTGCAAGCCAAGCCTTTGCCTTTCAGCTACACTTCCTCTTAGCTGGAGAGATGATGTCACCATTGTGTGAATGCTATATTACTTCTCCTTTTATGGAGATGAACAGGCTTGAAACTGGAGTCACTCATGCAGAGGAAGTGGGTGATAAAGGCCTGCTAGGATGTTCTGTAACTGAGATGTGGAACTTAAATTGCACATTCTCTTCTAGCCTCCCAACCTTTTTCTTCTCCCATCCCAAAACATCTAACAACAAAATGCAAGAGTTTGGGGCTCTATTAATTTATCAGTTATGCCAATATATTTGTAGCATTCGTTCAGATTTGTTGTTTTGCAGTAGAATATTTGGCTGAGGACTTTTTATGTACAAGATGTTTCTCCTGTGAAAATAAAATTTGGTTTAATTAAATTTTTAATGTATGCTGAAGGTCCTAGAAGCAGTCTAAAATGAGGTCTTTTATTTTTGGACTGAAGGAAGTCAAGAATGAGTTAGATATTAGTTGTTTTTTTTTTTAATACAGTAAAATTAATCTACTGATCTTATTATACCATACTGCTCTGTAGCTTAAATTTGAAGGATGTTTTACTTCCTGAATTTGTGGATGCTTGAGGCTGCTGCTTCTTATGATCACTTGAATACTACGGTGATGAGAGCTAAAGAAGAGCCTAGATAAAAAGCTTTCCTTGCCAGCTGGTCTGAAATACAGAACTGTTGCTATAATTAACTAATGAGTTGTTATTCTGGATGGTTTTTAATAACTGACTCTGTTTAGGATTGAAAAGCAGATGCAGATTTCTTTTAATCAAGCATTTCTTGATTGTGTTATTATAAGCAACTGAGTTTATGGTACCCAGCACATTCTCTTTTGCTGAGTAGGTTGCTTGCACAACTGACAATGGAGCAAAGGCAAGTGCTGACTGATTGAAGTTGTACAGTACGCCCATGTTGAATGATCCTTTTTTTAAAAAAAAAAAAGGGGTGGAGGTAGCCTTTTTGTCTGGGCAACTGAATTCTGATTCGTGATGGCACAAGTCAGTATTGTATGGCGAATGAATATTGGCATTTAAAGCAGTTCTTAATTGGAAGTGTGTCTGAAAGTTATGCTTTGTATGTGTTAGCTCTTTGGCCCTTTGGTCGGCTCCAGTTTCCTGTTGCTCAACACATTATTCGAGTTGTCTGTCTGTACACAATTAAAAGAATTCCAGCTATCCCAATGACTGCTGCTTTGCAGTCCTGGGAAAGAATTTCCCCCGATTGCAAACAGGAATGTTGCCTTTTATGGCAGTGTCTGCACGCTGCCGGTGACTTGCCTGCACTCGCAGGTACGTTCCTGCTGGCTTAAAGCAGAGGTGACTAATGCAGCTGCAGCAGGCCACGGGGAAAGTACGTTGGGGGAGGAAAATGTAGTGCCGAGAGGATTTTGAAACTGTCTGTGACTTTTCCTGCCTGAGTGCCTTTCAGCACCTTACTCTGTGTTAAGGCATGGAAAAATCCTGTGCTTGCCCCTTTGGGACTTCCTTGGGTCACTCCAGGGTGCTTGTTGCTACCTTGCCTCATTGGAATGAGGCTCGAAAAGAGCTATTCAACTAAGTGCAACAGAACTTGTCACAATCAAAAATTGTTTGGTGCCAAAGAGCTTCTGAGTCTTAGCTGATGTTGGTCATCTTTTTCTGTTGGGCAGTTGGTTTATCTGTCTGCTTGCCAATAGTGGTGTAGGGTTTTGTTTGTTTTTTTTTTTTTTTCCTGGAATAAGGGTCCTCTCCTGGAGGAGAGGGAAGGGGAAGGCATGCACTTTTCAAGTGCTTAGGGCTCCATTGTCTGTATGAGGAGCCCCGGCTCATAATTCCAACACTAGAGTGGACTACTGGGAGTAAGGAGCACCTTCCTTAGGGTTATCTTTATTTTATTTTTTCTTGGTTTCCCCCCCTCATCCCCCCTTCTCAAATTGGCTTCTTAGAAGAGCCTCTGTAGTACCTGAATGCCAGTATAACCTTTTCTTGGACAAGTGGGCTGCTTGTTTATAGTCAAGCTTTTGACAGTCAGGTGTTATTCAGAGGCACAATCTTTTCCTTTCACATAGCTGCTTTGTGATAGAGAATTGCACCCAGGTGTCGCACTACTGAAGAATACGTTTCCTTAGGCAATCCATAAATGAGTCACTAGTTATTCCCCTGATCCACCCTCAAAGTGCCCAGTCACGCAGAGGGCTGGTGTGTGCCTGCTGAGCCCTTGACCCACTGGGAACCTTGAATAGGTGGGGCTTTCGGAGCTGGCTAACATCTGCTCTTTGCCTGTCCCTCAGCAAAAGGGGTGCATATCTCAAAGGCAAAGAATAAACCTCAGCACTTGAAAGAAATGAATGTGCAATGCTAGTAAAGCTGCAGTATCTAGTTTTGAATGCTTAAGAGTTTGCTGGGCCAAAAGTATTTGAGTGATGATTTCCTTCTGCTTGCTTTCTTCCAGTCGTAGGGCTGATCAGCTCTCTCTGAGAACAGTATTAACAGGGATAAAGCAGATTATTTTCCTCTAAATTTTTGTGCTCATCTGCATACAGTCAGTTTCCAGTAAAGAAGCTTAAGAGCAGGAGTTGCCTATCTATAGCGTGTGAACCTAATGTTTCCATTATTAGTTTCAGAATAATTTAAGACAAGATAGAATCTCAAATTTGACAGGTTTACCTGCTTTCCTTATTCCATGAAAATGTGTCCAAAGGCTAGATACACTTCTCTCTTTATAATACTGAGTTTATAGGAGCTTTTTCTTGATGAGTATGGCATTCATGATGCTAGGATGGAAATGCCAAATTCACTTGCAGTAGCGGTGTTTAAGGGTATGGAAAGTAGTGTCAGGTACTTGAACGCTATCTGACTATAAAGGCTTCCCTAATTAGAGCTCAGTCTCTTAATCTTGCACAAAACAACTTGAATGGTGACTTAGTTACATCGTCTAAATACTCTCTGGTGGGGAGAATACTGAGTGCACTTGGGTTCTCTAGGCTACTGGAGAAAGGAACAGAAAGAACCAGTAGCTAAAATATGGAGACAGTCACATCCATAAATGTAGTGATGAAGGTTACCAATTGCTGAAATAATTTGAGAGCAATCCAGTGAATTTTCTACTGTCATGGATGTTTGAGGCTTGCTTGCTCTCTTTTTAGAGATTAGACTTCAGGCCAACACAAAATTGCAGCTCAGTGTGGAGAAAGGAAAGAATGACAAAAACTGTATGAAATCTAACTGTTGCATTACTCAGGTTCTCAGACTAGATGATCTGATAGTCCTCTGGTCTTGATCTTGAGCTGGGGGGGAAAAAAAAGAATCAAACCAAAAAACCTCACAGCCAAATGGATAACTTACAAACTAATGGAGATTTTGAGTTTGGTGGCACAGTCGGTTCTGTGAGTGGACTTGCTTGCTCTTGTGGACTCTCTGTGAATGACTTCCATGTCTGAACAGGTCTTGCTGCCCCTGTGATGACTACAAGCTACTAAGGCTGTTGTGTAGGCACAGGCACTCTCCAGTCTGCCCAGTGCTCCCAGCTGGTTCCTGGTGGCATGGGGGAGGGAATGGGCTGCAGACTGGAGGTGGGGGGGCACAGGGTGGAGGCATGGATGAAAGGTGAAACCAAGGCAGGAGCAGGGGAGTGTGTTCACACAGAAGTGGTGGGGGAGCAGTGGGATGAAGGCATGGCGGAAGGAGTAGTCAGGACTGCATAGGAGGAAGTGGAATCATAGGTGAAAGCTGAAAAGAGGTTAAAGATGTGGGAGAAGATAGCGGTGGATAGGCTAGGTCAGGTAAGTTCTGTAACTGGAAAGATGTTATTGTCCACAGCTGGGAACTGAACACAGGAATTAGTATGTCTACTAGTACATCAGCATGAAAAGAAAAGGTTTCTACTGTAACCAGCTGCTCTGTTAATACAATAGGGGATGGTGCCACAAATAAATCAGCTGTATAGGACTCTAGACTGCTGCTCAGCATTGCAGTTTTCAAGTCTGTTCTGTACAAAATAAGTAACAGAAATTTCTCACTGAGCTTCCGGTGTTTCTTTTGGGGGTGAAAGCCTCTGTTTGATGTGAGGTTTTGGAACTTTGGGATTTGTAACGGTTCCTGTCCCACTTCCCCCTTCCCCCTTCCCCCTTCCATTTCCACTGCTCTGCTGATAACATTTTTAAGTCAGTATGGGCCCACTATAATGGGGGGGAGGGCAGAAGATCAAGTAGGTATACATCAAACTGTTGCTCTGTGCTAAAGAAACATTCAGTAAGAGAGTTCTGTACTGTTTGTAGAAAAATTGTAATGCAAACAATATTCTTCCTGGGTGAAGAAAACTAAATTGTGATGGTGCCATTATATTTTGGCAGATGGTGGGAGGTTGGCATCTGTTGCCAGAAAAGGGGTTACCTGGCGATATTTCTGAAGATGTTTGGCAGAGTTTACTAGTTCCTGTTTTTGTCTTTGGTGTTGATTTCATTCTGTCACAGAAATTTGATTTTAGAGTCTCAGTATAACTACTTTTTTAAATTTTATTCTAGATCGAGAGGATCAGTCCATCCTTTGCACGTGAGTATTACAGTTGTCAGCTTGTCTGGATGTCAAAGTCTGTGTTAAAAATCTTGGTTGGAGGATTCTCTTAATTTTAAATGCTGGAGGTGGGCTCAGTAAATTGGGTAATAGTGGAGAGTCAAAGAAGGTCCCACTAGAGTTCCTCCAATATATATGCAATCCTTTCTGCAGAATAATTTTTGTAAGAATTGGAGGAAGAAGGGAGGTTTTGAAACAGCCCCTGTGCTCAAACTCCTAAAGAAATACAGCTTTGTCAATGGAAAAGGCTTGGAGAAGTCCTTCAGATTTGATGCAGGTGTTGTGCTTGAGTGCATTCATACTGATGAGGCTGGTAGAGTAACAGATACTCTTGATACAGCAGTTTCTCTTCTAGGCACAGCAAAATTTGTTGGCCCTCAGTTCTGCTTAAGGAATTGGTATGTTTCTTTTTGCAGTCAGGAGGCTTCCTTTTGAAGGATGCACTTCATTACATTTCACCCCTAGCTCTATAGCAGCCTCTGAATTATTCCTCAGCCACTTTTTCAGTCTTTGTATCCAAGTGACTAGAAAGCATAATTCTTTATTGCCATCCCTCCTCCGTGCACGCATACAGAACCTGCACCCAGCAGCAAACTGGCTGAGGGCTAGCCTGCAGTCCAGCTACACTGCTACGGCTTGCCTATACAACTTGTTTTTTCTTCGTTTCGAGGGAGGTGCAATAATGGCCAGAATGCAGTTAAGAAGCTCTGTAGCCCTTTTGGGGTTGGAAATATGAATATGTCCCCCTATGTCTTGTTTGTGAATGAATTGCAGATTTTCTTTACAGAGGTGAATCGGGAGCTGGTAAGACAGAGAACACCAAGAAGGTCATTCAGTATCTGGCTCATGTTGCTTCCTCACACAAGTCTAAAAAAGACCAGGTAAGACCTGGGTTTGATGATGTTTTATTGCTGTGCTGGCTTTGGACAATAAATATATATTGGCTGATGTTGGTAAAAGCCATATTGCTCAATAAAAGCCCAGATAATAATATTTATTAGGGGGCAGAGGAGGACATGAAATAATATGAACTATGAAAGAATAAAAGTTTGACAAAAAATTGCAAGCCAGGGAACACTCTTTTGAATTCACTGAAGCTACAGTGGGGATAAAGTCATCCACAACCTCTTGGATTCATGGGCAAGAGATGCTATAAATGAAGCATCACCTATACTGATCTTTTTACATGGATATATTGCTTGTAACCAGTTCAGGCAGTGTAAAACCCTTATAGATTAGGTCTGGCTATTATATACACTGTCTCAAAACTGGAGAGTACAGTGATAAGCTAGTGGACATCAGCTAAAAACTTTGAAATTGTAGGAAAATATTAAAAGGGTGGAAAACAGCCAAGTGTTAGCAGCACATGAAAGGAGGGTGGTGGTGATGGTGGAAGGACTTTAAAGATGTCTCACTTATATTTTTTTCCCCCTCCCTCTCCCCCGATGGACCGAATTCGTCAGTTGTATCCTCGTAGGTGAGCTGCACGTTTACTGCACGTTCTGCACCAGGAATGCGTTTTCTGTCCCATTGTGTGATTTTTTTGAGCAGCTTTTCACTCCACACCAATATCACTTTCTGCAGCTAAAACAAATCCATAGACAATTCACGATTTTTTTTTTTTTGTGTGGTGCACAGTAATCTTTTTGTGAGGATGTTCAGTTGGAGACTAAAGTAATATCAAGAATACTTGTGTTCTGTGCTCAATACTAGTTTGCATTTAAGTTTTTTCTTGCAGCATTTTCCCAGATATACCATTCAAGAAGTATTCCTCCAGGGCAATAGGACTGGACCAGGCTTTCCTAGAACCATAAGCATCTAGTGTGGGTGGTGTTCCTAGTAAGATGAATGTAGTTAGGTGTTTAGCTTTCTATTCCCTGCAGTGAGATGCGGCTGCAGGTTGCAAAGAAAGGTCAGGGGGAAGGCTGCCCTGCAGGCAGGGTGTTCCAGGACTATGAGCTTGTTAGCTAGAGCTGAACACATTGGAAATGTTCACTGGTGAGCTGTGTAATGAAAGCCAGATGCCAAATGTGTCCCCTGTACATAAGAGTTTCCCATAATAGCTTAATATGTAGGCATGTCTTATGTGTGTAGAGTATGCGAATAAGAAGGCATCTCTGCACGCAGGCGTACTATATGTGCGCGCACACATAGTAATAAGTAACTTCTGGAATCCAACCAAAAAAAAAACTTTCTATGTGCCAAACTTTCAGACATATGAAGGCTTTTTCCATGGTCTGTCAGTAGCTGTATTTAGAAACATTCTCCTTTTTTCTTTTTCTTTTTTTAAGTGTGGAAAATAGAATCATGGGGTTGAGTTAAGTATTCTTCCACTGCTTATCCTTGAGCAAAATTTCGACCACTGAAGCAGGACATACAGTCTCCTTAGGAGCATAAAACAGTCCTAAGTTGGACTGGTTGATGATTTGCCCAAGTTAGATATTTCCCTCTCCCTCCCCCCTTAAGATTTGAGTCTTCTGAAAAGTCCTGCAGGTCACGTTTTGTTCCACTTTCGTGACTAAGCAGTAGCACTGGCCTTACCAGAGAGGATTTAGAACTGGAGTTTTTGAACGTTAATTGGTAGTGAGTGCTCTATGCAACAATTCTTTACAAACCTTGAACTTGGAACTGGATTATAAGGGTTTATGAAGATGAATACGTTAAATTTTTTTGAGGATCTCTGGTATACTGGTCGTGGCAGATTTATTCTTTAGGGTTGAATATGATAGTGTTGAACCTTTATGCTGCAAGACTAGGCACGGAACTTAACCAATGATAATATAGAAAGTAGTGGTGATTTATCTACCAGAAAGGTTTCTTGACTGTCACCTCTTGGAATTTTTGGATGTAAACCCCTGTTTTTCCAAGTATCAGAGCAAAATCAGATTTATAAAGCATATTCTTCAACTCTGTCTCTTGTTTTGGAGGTAGTAGCAGCTTCCACCAATCCCAGTGCATTCGTGTATTCAGCTAAATAGCTTCTAGCTGCATGGTGTGACTACTAAGCACATTAAGGCTGCTTTTGGGGCCTACTGAGTCTAATTACATAAACACTTTTTTTCATTTGATTAAGCTTTATTTATAGAGGTTGAGATTGATATTTTCCCATGTTTAGTCTCTGCTTCTCTACTGACTTATGTAATAGCTTTTTCAAGTTGAGAATCTTCACAGCTAATCAGAAATTAATGGGTAATAGTTGCTAATGCTTAAATATTTGTAATGAAGATTAGGTTATTGATGATCTTTCTCCCTTCCCCACCTAACCCACTGTTGTTTGGACTCGGTTATTTGAGAATCTCTCACATGACTGCAGAGAAGAATGCAAAAGCAAATCCCTGAAGTGTAAAAACCAAACCAACAAAAAACCCCACCAAAACAAACAAAAGACCCAAACTTGTTCCCCCATCTTTTAGTTTTTTAAATTGCATGCTCTTAAAGCTAGCTGTGATTTCTAGATGCCTTTCTCTATACTTCCTGAAGAATAAATGGCTGGCAAAACTTCTACCTTGCATAGAAATAATTCCAAAAAGTGTATTAGATGCAAAAAATTCAGAGCGCAAGATAGACGTCAAGGATTTTAGTTGCTGTAAATTGGTGTTGCAACTTCAGAGAAGTAGAAAGAGAGTATACTGAAGAGTGTGCGCTACCCAAACACGGCCTAGCAGATCCAGTGGCTGTTACTGCTTCTGTTTTTATGAGGAATGCTGTACATACTTCAAATGCATGCCAAGTATTAAACAAATTTGTTTCAGGTCAAGGAACGTTAGTTACAGGTGTCAGAAAATTGGCAGCATCTTCATGATGGGAACCTTAGAATTTCTAGGAAGCTTGTGATGGACAGCTCTGTACTGTTTTTGCTTTGTATAATATTATTATAATAATATTA